TGTTACTAAAATCAAGGTGTGATTTGAGCATTTCTACTTGAAATTTGAGGGACAAATCTGAAGCTGTACTTCAACTTTTACCAAAGGATTTATTTATTTAGATTTAGAGTTGCACTTTTAGTGGGTACTTTTACCACCTCTGCTGCTTAGCTAGCTAGGTAACTAACTAACTAACTTAGCTAAGATTAGTGACCAAAAATAAAAATTTGATTGTTAGGGTATATGTTTGACAAATTTGTATGTAAAATAAATATTTGATATCGATTATGATAATTTAACTCAGGATTTTGATACTTAAATGCAGTTTGTGAAGGCTGTGACAAATGTGAGCTAATTTATTGGCAGATGCCAAGCCAGCTAGGTATTTGAGATGGCAGGAGGACATGAGATGTGTTTATCAAGCATTTCTTAGCATTTTTTGTGTTTTTTTTATTGTCTTATTTTTTTGTCCTAAAATAACTTCATGACACACTCAGCAATGTCGTAGTTCTACGTATAGTATACATTTAAATATAAAATATATGTAAACAATTATTTAATCAGCAAGGCAGTACAAATGTGCATTGGCAATGCGATGTACGTGATTCATTAGGAAGAAATACAGTACAGTATTTTCATTTAGAACTACTGCTACGTACAGATCCCACCTGTCATGCTGCCTCATACACACAGCTGAGCGTCACACACACATCTCACAGTTCATTCTAATAAACAACTGAGATGTTGAACAAAGGTTTCCATGGAAGAATTTTGATTAAGCAAGAGTAATGGCATTGCCTACATCAATAAAAAAGAAAAGAAAAAAAAAACACCCTAATACTTATGTATATTTACGTATATAAGTTGGCTCTCAATGTACAACTAAATGAGTCAAGTCAAAGAGTCAGCTCGTAGACAGATGACACATCACTAATTCACATTTACCTGTAGGGCAAAGATGTTTTCTTTCAATACCATTTGGAAGTGTCTGACCCTAATCACACTGACACGTATGAAGATTGCCATATTGTGCTCCCGATTTCTCAGTGGATCATGTACAAATTCTCAGAATTAGGATTTCATGGAGCACATCTGTTAAATATGGATGAGCAATATCTCGGCAGTTGCGGGACCGAATATCAAGTGCATGAAACCATGGTGCCGTGGTGGTCTAATAACCGTGAAGCTGACCTTTCTGGTCCCAATCTCCCACCTGACCTTTTCCTCACACTCGCATTCCTACAGAGTAGCTCCCTTGGCGACAACCTTGTCGTGTAGTTGTCCTATGGCTTTGTTTCTCTCCATGCCGTTTCTCAGCATGGAGTTTTCCTCCCTGCTGACTCATTACTGTAATATACTTCTCGCTCTGTGTGCACCAGCAATCCCCTTTACCCCTATTCCCAATGATCATCATTTCTCTCACAAGTTTCTTGACCTACCTTTGCTCTTTCAGCTCCATGTCACCAACACCATCACCAACACAAGAAAATACACCATACTTGAGTACATAGTCATTTCATTTTAAATAACTGACTTGTCACTGCTAAATTGGCCTCTCTATATAGGAATGTATTATCCTATATAGGATTATTATATAGAATTGTATATCTGCTTAGGACAAATTCAAGACAAAGAAGAAGAAATGAAGAAACACTTCCATCCTGAAGAGAGTAGGCTCTTCCAGGATGACTCAACCCATCTACAGAACACAAGGACTCTCTGAGCATGGTGTAAATCACATTCTATGGCCTTCACGGTCACCATATCCCAATGCAGCAACACCAATGTTTTAGACAGTGCTCTCCGCCACCACCATCAAAACAACAACTAAGAGAAAACTATAGGTTTCAAACCATTTCCTGTTTATTTTTTGACTTCCATTTTGGATTCTTTCTTGTTATAGGACACACCCATGCTTCATTTATGTTGCCATGTAAATATATTTAAAAAAATAAATCTATATATATTTTCCTTTTTTAAAAATAATGGGGATACAAACTCATGCCCTAGTCCATGTTCAAAAGTCATTATTACTTGAGTAAACTGATTTAAAATTTCTATGTAATCGCTGAATTTGCACTTCCCCCCATAAAATTCATAAGCATTTCAAGCTGTATATATTATATTCTGCCTATGAATAGTTTAATACTAAATGGTGCTGAGTAAAGCAGGAGAGAGCATTAGCATACATCGATAAAATTCCGCTAGTTGAGGCTAGGGACGATGCTGAGATGCAAAAACATTTCTATTTGATATCAAAGTGCTGCTTTGTGTGTTTTTCTGTTATTCTCATTATGCTACTGATGACATGTTTAAATGATTGATGAAATGATTGTCAACAGTCAGCACCCTTTCTGTGACACTTCCTGTGAACTGTAGGATTTTTTTTTGCATTTATTAGTAACTGCATGAAACAGAGAGTAAAGGAAGTATTGTGAAGGAATGCCTGTTTATAGGTGCTATAACGTAAGTGATAACAGGAACAAACTTGCTTCATGGAACTTCCACAACATTAAGCATGACATTATTCTTTGATTCAAAAATTTTATTGTTTGAAAGTTGCTGTTTTATAACATAAATATATCTTATAGACATGATATTACAGGAAAACATTCAACTTTGGGGTGGGTAACATGTAAAGCTGCTTTCTTTTGGTCACTGATAAAACATCCCCCAAGCATTTTATTCCTTATGCTTTAACCACTCTGGGTTTTGACAGATCCAAAGCCTATCTTTCTACCACTGGGCATGAGGCAGGAATACACCTGAATTTACTGTGGAGCAGTTCTCAATATGGGGGCAATTTAAACCAGCCAGTTCTCTGGAAAGTGGAGCTCAGGATCACTACCTGCTCCACCACAGTGCCACCAAATCTTGTTAGTGTCACAGTGGATCCAGACCCTATTCTCAGATTATTGTACAGTAACACACCTTGAATGCTTCAAATTGGGTTTAGGACAACTATGAGTTCAATATGGAGCTCAAAGGCACACCTCTGTCAAACACCTTAGACTTGGTCACATTTGTGTGTGTTATTTTATTCTGCAAAGTCAGTTTAAAGGTATCAACAAGTTATACCTTCACTAAGTTCATTTTTATTGTAAAATAATTAATGAAAACAAGATTACAGCTTGGCTTCAACCTTTGAAACCTCTCAAATCTGATCAGAAATATTCCCCAGCCAGCGTTTGGTGTCTGCAGGAACAATACCAAGGTTGCGATAGAATCGAGGACAGGTGAGTGACAGCTGAGGCTAAAGGCTCACCTCCCCATCCACACCAAACAGCTGCTGTGGCATTATATACAACGAGATTCTCACTCTGCAGCCAGACAAGAGGACTCACTCCAGCACATTCTCTTTTAGCCGTATTCCCACTTGATAGCTTTCACTTGTTATGACATCTCTCCAGGTGGCACGGGTCAGGACCACGTGACCACACAGACCTGCACAAATCCCTATTTGTCGACCTTTCTTCAAACTACACTGAAGTGTCAAGGGTACTTAGACAGATTGCAGGTAAAGAGGAAGGTGCCTATAGCAGTCGAGTGGTGGCTGTCAAAGCCCAAGCTCACAGGGCCAGATGGAGTGCTAAAAGTCAGGCACTTAGCTTCTCATTTTGAATGAAATGTGGATCAAATTTGATTTGGTACAATAAATAAAAATGGTTTGAATACTTTTTTCTGGCACTGAACATGTCGCCCTTCGCTGTACAGTGAGATTCTGAGTTCCACAGAGCATTAGGACAGAAAATCCTCCATGGCTTTGAAGAAAGTGGTGGACCTAGTGGTTAAGGTGCAAATCCCAGGCCTATCAGTTTTGGAACCACTGTTAAGCTTCATCTCTTTAGAACCATATAATTATCAGCTCCCCAGAGCGTATTTATCAACAGGATACGTAATTATCTTGTGGTGTTATTGATTCACCACAAGTGAAATTTTATGGTGTAATATTGGAAAAAAGTTCATGGTTAATGCTTAAATGTGCCATTATGATGTTTAGGTAGCCAATCATTATCCATATTGAATATACAGTATGTCACGAAAGTAAGTACACCCCTCACATTTTTGTAAATATTTGATGATATCTTTTCATGTGACAACAGTGAAGAAATGATACTTTGCTACAATGTAAAGTAGTGAGTGTACAGCTTGTATAACAGTGTAAATTTGCTCTCCTCTTAAAATAACTCAACACACAGCCATTAATGTCTAAACTGCTGGCAACAAAAAAAGTGAGTACACCCCTAAGGGAAAATGTCCAAATTGGGCCCAAAGTGTCCATATTTTGTGTGACCACCATTATTTTCCAGCACTGTCTTAACCCTCTTGGGCATGGAGTTCACCAGAGCTTCACAGGTTGCCACTGGAGTCCTCTTCCACTCCTCCATGACGACATCACAGAGCTGGTGGATGTTAGAGACGTTGTGCTCCTCCTCCTTCTGTTTGAGGATGCCCCACAGATGCTCAATTGGGTTGAGCTCAATTGCTCAATTGGAGAGACATGCTTCGCCAGTCCATCAGCCTCAGCTTTTTTAACAAGACAGTGGTCGTCTTGGAGGTGTGTTTGGGGTCATTATCATTATCATGCATGATTCAGATCATGTTCGGCTTCAGTATGTACATGTTGGTATTCATATTTCTCTCAATGAACTGTAGCTCCCCAGTGCCAGCAGTACTCATGCAGCCCCAGACCACGACACTCCCACCACCATGTTTGACTGTAGGCAAGACACACTTGTCTTTGTACTCCTCACCTGGTTGCCACCACACACTTGACACCATCTGAACCAAATAAGCTTATCTTCTCATCAGACCACAGGACATGGTTCCAGTAATCCATGTCTTTAGTCTGCTTGTCTTCAGCAAACTGTTTGCGGGATTTATTGTGCATCATCTTTAGAAGGTTTAGTTGTAAATCACATACACGCCAATCAGCCTACATGCATGTCTTTGGACTGGAGGAGGAAACCGGAGTACCCAGAGGAAACCCCCGCAGCACAGGGAGAATAACTCCGCACACACGGCCCTGGCGGGAATCAAACCCTGGACCCTGGAGGTGGGAGGTGAACGTGCTAACCACTACGCCACCGTGCGGTGTGGGGTGTATTCACTCTGAGATTGTAATAAAAATTTCTGCTACTGCCAGAACTTTGTAGTTGACCATCTTTGCTGACAATGACCACCAATGAGCTTGCTACATTATGCTTTTTAAGACCACTGAAATTCAATTCACGACCAAAGAATTATTTTATGGTATAAAATTTTTGTCAGCAACAGCAAATCTGGCCAAAACCATACAGTGTTAAAGGGAGATTAAGTATACACAAGAGGATTGGTAATGGTCAACCAGACACTCTAGTTCTGGAACTTGAGAGCAACAACTAAAGTAGTATTAGAAAAGTAGTAACAATAGTACAGACACTGTTTTTCACTCCTATTCATTCATTCATTCATCTTCAGTAAGAGCTTTATCCTGGTCAGGATTGTGGTGGATCCAGACCCAGACATTGATGGGACATCAGCATGAACTTATTGATATCAAAAAGAACATGATCATAATGTAGTCTTAAAATGCTACAAATGACTAATAAGAATCTTGATAATCATTAACTTGTATCACTTGTTACTTTATTTGATCAGAATTGAAGGACTGTTTTATAGTAACCTTATAAAACCAAACAATATTTAAGTGTACAAAGAGTTGTGCAGAGTTCTATCTGCATGTGCATCTGGTTTGAAAATGGAAAATTTAAAGAAACTTTTTTCTAGCTGTAAAAATAGACTAGCATGGAAAGTCAAAACTAGGACTCACATTTCATAGATAAATACAACTAACACAATTTGTAAGTCACTTTGGATTAAGGCATCTACCAGATGAATAATTCATAGCCATTCTTGAGGATTCATAGAAATAAAAGATATCTGGCAAGCATTTTGATCCTAGCAGCTGTTAATACAGGACAAATGCATCATCTAGCCCTATAAGATCATTAATATGGAGCAGCAGGGTGCTAGTGGGAAATATCAGACAGTCGCTTGTAGTTTTATTAATTTATTATTTTTTAGAGACCATCTGGTGTGTAGAAGTGTTGAACTCATTGAATAGACATGACCTTGGCCTATGCACATATGTTGTGGTGTCATTTCACTGTGTAGGTGTATAGATCAGTGGTTCACAAACTTTTTCCATGTGAGGCCCCCCCTTGTGTAGAGTGCATCCCTTTGTGCCCGATCCCCAGAGTAATCAAATTTTCACAATTTCATAATTCTTCGATATTAACTTTCTCAGCTAAGAGACTACGTCCTCTATCTAAAAACTTCTCCATTTTAAATTAAGTTCTTAGGTTTTATCAGCGTATGACTAACAGTACTGTACACTAGTATATCAACGGTTGCCTCTCTTTGGGGTGTGTCTTAGTGTGCTGTGTATGATTAATTAAATGTATTAATATTTCTCATTTTTATGTACATCATAGTTTAAAGGCTGACAATTCCAACTTACTTACAGGTCAAATAAATATTGAAAAAATACTTAAAAAAAAAAAGAATTTCTATGCGGCCCCCTGGCACCATCTGGCAGCCCCCAGGGCGTCACTGGTATAGATCATAGAGTTCAGTGATGCATTTAATACTTTCTGTGATGTATATATTTATCTTAGATTTTTTTTTTTTTTTTAGAAAGGCATATTCAATTCAAACAGAGTGATCCACCATAAAAATGTTCAATGCTGTGATATTTAATTACACTTTATTTAACTAAGGAAATTCAAATGACTCTAATGAGTTGTCATGGTTCCCATGGTGATGAACACCAAGTGTTCTTGTTTGTTTATTTTCTTCTACCCTGTCCTGTCATTGGTTTGTTGCCCTATTGTGCTCACCTGTTTTGTGTTAGTTCTTGTTTAGTTAGTTTGTTTATACCCTCTGTTTTGAAGTGAGTATTTCAGTGCCTTGTTTTCTTTGGCACCTTTTTATTTTGGCTATGGACTCTTTAATAAGACGCATACAGGGTTTATGTATGTTGTTTATGTATGTTGATGCAAATATACAACTGGTTGATTATATTGATGCCACAGACTGTGCATATCAAGGCCACACATCATTATATGTTATTATATCCTGTAACCTAAGCCCACGATTTATGTCATGGGATGTCAAGCTTGATACGTAGCCTCATATTAATTATTTGGCGAAAACAAGTGAAAAAACAATTAAATTTGCTAATGGTGAAGAGTATCCATGTTGCAACACCAGTGAGTTAGTATGTCTTTATGCATCATCCCTTGATAAAGCGTAACATAATCTTCACGTTTAGGCTCCAATTGATTTCTCACTCGAACACCTTTTTATATATTTTGTGGCCATGAAATCAATCTCAAGAAACTGAAGTCATGGTTTTAATATTTTAATTTGTAGCCATACCTTATTAAAAAAAAATCACTTTGTTGCATTAGACATATACAAACATAATGCAAAATACAATATTCCAAATTACAAATATTTTTTATTTAATGATTGATTTACTTACTTATTTTATTTATGCAGTTTATCAGATGCAAATTTTTTATCTGTCTGTTCCCTTAAATGATTAAAAACACCACCACCACATCAGAATATTGATGACTAATTACTGTACTCTCACTGGTAATAAGTTAAAAAAAAAAAAAAAAGTGAGGAATAAGCTGAAAGTAAATGTAAAGCCAGTCGGTGCGGTCTTCTTCCCTTCCACCGAATGTACTTGATCAGGCAAAGCACGTTTTATTTGGAAAGCTTAAAACCTCCAGTCGAGCGTTGTGAAAAACTGCAAACCATGTGCCTAAATCATTAAGGGCTCGAGAGTTTGTATAACTCAATTCATAGTTCAGGCTTAGTCATGGGGATTGCAGTCATGCTGTTTGAAATCCATGGTTATTTTTTTAAAGGGTATACGAAATTCAACAAAATATCTTTCAATGAATACTTATATTGCCCGAGAAAAAAAAAAAAAAAAATCACACACGTACATTTATGAGGTCTGACTGATGGTATAATAAGAATGATGTAGGGGAAAAACTACATAGGCAGCTGCATTCGCCATTTAAATTTTTTTGTAAGTATTTCAAATCTGTAAGGCTGTACTTGCTTCATGTTGCGTTTTCCCAGCAGACCAAACAATTCTGTTATGTTTTCATCATGTGTCCTTCTGTGTGATTGTACTTAGACTATATCCACTATATCTACTTTTAAAAATGTCTAAAAACATGAAAAACATAGTCACTGCATGAATGTACATTTTGGGCTAGAAAGAAATCAGCCCCATCCTTGCACTGTTTCTTTATAAGATGCTGTGTATTTCTTCTTATAACCATTGGTGGTGCTTTTGTGCTCAAACTAATCCACATGATTACATTTAGTAAAAGTTAATAATCTTTTCAGTACACTTTGGATCGACTATTTTTGGTGTAAGCGGAAAGTTTTCGACCACGCCATTTCTCCATGAATTAAACGTTTTGTATTTTATTTATTTATTTTTTTACTTTGTTGTGGACTTCCATGTTCTTTCAAAAAATGTGTCATAACCAGTCAAAGTAAAAGCGCGCTGGCATTTTGGATGTGACACTCAAGATAAAAAGCTTCAAAATCATGCAAATTCAAAAATCCCTTTTAGAAATGGCAGTGCTCAAATCTCCGAGATTTTATGCAGGAAGCTCGGGCAGATGTGTGTCGCACTTTTCCGAAAAAGTGTCACTCGAAAAGCCCCTCACTTCACACTGCGGATCCTGTCCTCCATGACAGATGGCAGTTTTTATAGGATCATAAAAAGCAGCCTGTGCAAGCGGATTTTTATTGAGGAGTAACCGTCTTTTATGCATGCGGGCTGTGTTTTTCTGAATCGAGGCAGTTATTTCTGTTAGCGCCACCCCCCAACCCCCAGTCATTGCACATGGCATGCTTTTCCAAGCTACATTTTAGCATCTTCCTCTGAGGGGCCAGTTCAAAGCTCTGATTAATCGACAGTATACACAAAAATGGTCAATTTGAAGATCTTAAGCCTGAAAAAGGGGTCCAGGTCACTTTCACATCCCTTTAACAAGTGACTCCTTTGATAAATGTGCGCGTTGTGGTGTAAGAGATGTTTCCTTTAACAGTATTGGCATCTAATTTGGTAGAAAATTATAGCAGCAATGTTGCTCTGTAACATATAATTAATAGCTAGTATTGCCATGTTGACTATTTAAATGCAGTTGTTGAAAATCTGACCATATTGAGATGTAAACTGGGCTTGGGAAATTGACTTGGCATCTATAATCCGACATTTATGACAATTAATAGTCACTAGTAGTCAGTAGTTAAATGTAAATGTGCACTTATATAGCGATTTTATCCAAAGCGCTTTACACTGTGTCTCATTTACCCATACACTCACACACAAGGTGCTAGCTTGCTATCGGGAGCAACTTGGGATTCAGTGTCTTGCCCAAGGACACTTCAGCACATGGAGTCACCCGGGCCGTGAATCGAACCACCAACCCTACGATTAGTGGACAACCCACTCCACCAACTGTGCCACAGCCCCTGTTCATAAAATGCCAATGTGGACCACATGATATCAGGGTTTTTTTTGTTTTTGTTTTTTTTTGCTTTCTGTCATTTTCCACCAATATGCATCCTATATATATATATAGAAAATAATAGAAAATGACTATTATTAAACTCTTTATATATATATATATATATAAAGAGTTTAATAATAGTCATTTTCTATTACAAGTCTAAAACTAGGTTGTAGAAATGCAGTATTGTACTCAGGCTACTGTAAACGTTCTTTTCCCAAAGGAAATGTCGTCTTTAATGTGACCGATCGAATCCACAGCTAACACTGAGCCCATGACAGATGAATTGTGTGAGGGCTGAATGAAGGGCACAAGGGCCTAGTTGGACTGCTGGTATGACTGATGGACGCGTCAGTTACGGAGACGCCATTTTTCATCGGATGTGGAAAAAACGTGGGAAGAAGTAGGTCGAGGGCGGAAACCGTGTAGCGTTTCTTTTTCCTTTGGTAAATTGAGAAGACTGCTTTAGAGTTGAACATGTTTTTTTTTTTTCAGATCTAA